TGTCAATATAACGTCGGCCTTTAGGGTTTTATCTTTTTATCGCCTCACTTTGGCTTTGTCAATGGGCCAATGGCTTTGCCAATGGGCCTAAAACTTTGTACTGGAAATTAGTTTTTTCTAATACGAAGAGCTTGCTGTTCTATTATTTTCTTCCACATTCTAAATAGACTTATGTCATTGTCGGGTGTTACATTAAGATCTGACGACGCATTTCACCAAAGTATTTGTATAATATAAAATAAATTTTTTTACGTACGTCGTCATGGTTACAGCAATTGCCATGAGATTCGACTTTGGAAGTCAACAACAATATTTTTGAATTTTGATTTGAACGCTATAATTTTAAGTCGTTCGAAAGTAATTTGCTAAATTGGTGAGTAAACTATTTTCGTAAGTTCGAAGCTTAAAACTAAAACTGTAGACGAGACTTGCGCCTGTTTTATACGTCGCATTTTACATGAGGCAAATACATTTAAAAGATAATGAGGAATTTTATCTCATTTTCTTTTGCCTCTAATGAATTCGGCTGATGTAAAATGCGACGTATGAAACAGGCCTTGGTATCTCATGATTCTCACTTGGCAGCACGCTAAAGCACGAAATTTTTTTTTTAAATCTTGTCAAAGCATGTCTTGTGGTCATGACTCTTGAGGAAAGTTTACTTCTTTAGACCAAGGTAAAGTACGTAACACAACGTGGTCTTTACTCTTGAGGAAAGTTTACTTCTTTAGACCCAGGTGAAAGTACGTAACACAACGTGGTCTTCACTCTTGAGGAAAGTTTACTTCTTTAGACCCAGGTGAAAGTACGTAACACAACTTGGTCATGACTCTTAAGGAAAGTTTACTTCTTTAGACCTTGGTGAAAGTTACGTAACACAACATGGTCTTGACTCTTGAGGAAAGTTTACTTCTTTAGACCCAGGTAAAAGTACGTAACACGACATGGTCTTGACTCTTGAGGAAAGTTTACTTCTTTAGACCAAGGTGAAAGTTTGTAACACAACATGGTCTTGACTCTTGAGGAAAGTTTACTTCTTTAGACCTAGGTGAAAGTACGTAACACAACATGGTCATGACTCTTGAAGAAAGCTTATTTCTTTAGACCTAGGTGAAAGTACATACCATAACATTCTCTCTCTTGACTGACCAAGTTTTATGATAAAAAAATGGTGTGTACTTTTTAAGAAATAATCAAAACTAAACGGATAAGTAACGAAGAAGTTATAGAATCAAAATTATTTTTATTGATTTTAAAAAGTTCCATGACTTTTTGATAAATTATGTAGTTTCAGTATATATTAGGTTTTCAATAGTAGTAAATTCAAAAGTCTAAATGTAAGTCAAGTGTAAGTTGCCAAATTCTTTGTAATTTTATTATTCTTGCATTAGTTTTGCAAATTCAGATTCAAATTTGAACAACTCCGTAATTCGTACTAAAGCAGCAGAAAGTGAAACGTTTTCACAAGTTATGTGTTTAAGCTGTGAACAAGCGGTTTATTGGTCTGTATCTAAGATACCGCGAAGCAGGAGAGTCGGGAGGGGAACATACCATCACTTCTTATATTATCAAGCAATGAACTGAGTAAAATTCAGCGTTCTTTGAATAGTGTATACATTTGTGCTTTGCCCCCGTCTCTTCTCTTTAACAAGCTTTCCTCAAGAAGGAGTGCGTTGTTATGTCACTTTCAAACGCAGAAATTTACATTAACCGAATGCATTAAAATAAAAGAATTGAGATAAAATTCCATGTCATCTATTGTTTTATATGGTTTTACTGTATGTAAAGTTCAGATATTTGAATCTTAGGTAGCGCGCTATCTGTCTGAAGTAAATGCAAACACTTGAGTAACAAAGTTTGAATGAATAAGAATAAATCAGTATAGCTTGTTCCCATTACGACTTTAAACGCAGCAGGATTAAGGTATTGTTCACATGAGCCAAGTAGCCGGGATTCAGCGAAGCGTTAAATCATTTTGGCAAATGAAAAAGATTAAATACTTCACAATAAAAACCTTATTTGAGCAATTTCTCTATGCTCTGACTTTGTAAATTCACAAAACCTTTAAAAATGAAAACAAATAATTTAGTCTGACTTGAAAATTGAAAGTAAAATGACTTATGACGCTTAAGAAAAGGTTGTAAGTTTTGCACTTGAACTTTTTACTCCTTTTACTTCCTCAAAATAATTTCACGCTTCGCTGAATCCCGGTTACTCGGGCTCATGTGAACAGCCCAGAACTAAAAGTTTTTTATGGCTACCTGCAAAAAGAACCAATATACAGGTATAAATTATATTCTGTAGAACCAACGTAATTAATCCTGTCGTAGCATAAAACCACAGTATATAGAACATACATTAGAGCCACTCGTATCTCACTGCGCATGTGATTATCATAGTGGCAGCCAGTCAATTGCTTTTTTTGACAAATAGTTGCACTGAGCTGGAAAATGACAGGCAGTAATTTAAATACAGAGCAGCAAGTTGCACAGCAAAGTGGTTCTACTTTATATTCCTATACTGTGATAAAACAATGGAACATGTCGTGCATCGCAGCTTAAATAATCAGTAGCGTTGTGAGATGAGTGGTCATTGCTGTCTTATCTCTTGAGTAATTAGGGGCGTTAAAAACTTCCCTTTCGTTAAAAAATGCTTTTGAAAGTTTCACTTGATGTTTGGAATGCAAATTAAAAAAAAGGAAACTCTGAATCACAATTCATAAGGATTTAGAAGCATATTTGCGCCATAACTGTCGAATTTTAATATTAGATTGAGCGAGAAAAATTCTTACCAAGCCAAGTATTCTGTTTTAAATATAAGTATTTTAATATAATTTTAGTCGCTGCAAATATTTGCCTGGTTATTATTACATATACATCATTTAAACATTAATTAGATAAGTTTGGGTTAGCCTCCTGGGGCTAACAAATGATTTGACATACGCATGTAAAAATACGTACACGAAAAAATCAAGAAACTATCATATGTAGATTGTATGTTCTTAAAACATTCATGTAATCACAATTAGTCTTTATATAAAGCATCAAAGAACATAAGCTTTAAGGACATAACATAAGTTATTAAAAAAATAGTATTATATTTAACTATCATAATTCATGCAATAAACGATTAATTATCATCATAAAGTTATAAAACTTGAAGACACTTCAGAATCAATCATGCAAGTGCTTTTTGAAATGAGCGTTACACAATCAATCACTAAATGATAACGAATGTTTAGTCTACAAAAGTTTGTACGAATAAATGAAATATATGCATCAAGAATTTCACTACCATCTAAAATTGTTCTTCCAAATGATTTTTCGTCATATCAATGTCATAATTTTACAGTTTTTCTCTTTTCTGGATTGGAAGGAGTGGGTTTATGGCAACACCTTGTTCAAAATCATGCTGTTCCTTACTTTCTTCGACTGAAAGGAGTAGGTTCATGGCAACCTATTCTTCAAAATCATGTTGTTCCTCACTTTCTTTGATTGGAAGGAGTGGGTTCATGGCTACCTATTCTTCAAAATTATGCTATTCCTTACTTTCTTTGTTTGGAAGCAGTGGTTTCATGGCAACCTATTCTTCAAAATTATGCTGTTCCTCACATGCTTCAATTGGAAGGAGTGGGTTCAAGGCAACCTAATCTTCAAATCATACTATTCCTCACTTTCTTCGATTGGATGGAGTGCGTTCATGGCAACCAATTCTTCAAAATCGTGCTATTCCTCACTTTCTTCGATTGGATGGAGTGCGTTCATGGCAACCAATTCTTCAAAATCATGCTATTCCTCACTTTCTTCGATTGGATGGAGTGCGTTCATGCAACCTATTCTTCAAAATCATACAGTTCCTCCTTTTCTTGAATTGGGATGAATGAGCTTATGGATACACCTTCTTCAAAATCATGCAGTTCCTTACTTTCATGGATTGGGAGGAATGGGCTTATGGCAACACCTTAATCAAAATCATGCAGTTCTCCACTTTCCTGGATTGGGAGGAGGGTTTATGGCAACACCTTCTTCAAAATCATGCAGTTCGTCACTTTCCTGGATTGGGAGGAATGGGCATATGGCAACACCTTGTTCAAAATCTTGCTGTTCCTCACTATCCTGAATGGGGAGGTATGGGTTTATGGCAACACCTTGTTCAAAATCATGCAGTTCCTCACTTTCCTGGATTGGGAGGAGTGGGTTTAGGGCAACAATTTGTTCAAAATCGCGCTGTTCCTTATTTTCCTGGATTGGGAGATGTGGGATTATGGCAGCACTTTGTTTAAAATTATGCAGTTCCTCACTTTCGTGGATTGAGAGGAATGGGTTTATGGCAACACCTTCTTCAAAATCATGCAGTTCCTCACTCTTCTGGATTGGGAGGAGTGGGTTTATGGCAACAACTTGTTCAAAATCTTGCTGTTCTTCACTGTCCCTCACTTTCCTGAATTGTGAGGAATGGGTTTATGGCAACACCTTCTTCAAAATCATGCAGTTCCTCACTTCTGGATTGGGAGGAGTGGGTTTATGGCAACAACTTGTTCAAAATCTTGCTGTTCCTCACTTTCCTGGATTTGGAGATGTTGGATTGTGGCAACAACTTGTTCACAATCACGCTGTTCCTAACTTTCCTGGAGTGGGAGATATGGGATTATGGCAACACTTTGTTTAAAATCATGCAGTTCCTCACTTTCCTTGATTGGGAGGAGTGGGTTTATGGCAACATTTTGTTCAAAATCATGCTATTCCTCACTTTCCTGGATTGGGAGATGTGGGATTATGGCAACGCTTGTTCAAAATTATGCTGTTTGTTGTAATTTTGTTTTGTTGGTATTGGTCTCCCTGTGCCACTATCTGCGGTACTTTATGAGCAGCGGTACTCATTCATGAGTTTTTATCCGCCATATTTTTGTTTGTAGCATTTTAAGTTGTGTTTTAAAGTTAAATAAAGCCAGAGAATGGTAAATTACAACAATTTATTTAATTTTATTTAAATTCTTTAATATGGAAACGATATTGAATTCGCAGCGTCTTGACTCGGACCCAAATTCGTCGTCAGCCGCGAAAGAGTGGAACCATTGGCTCCAAACGTTCAACAACTTCATTCAAGAATGCGGCGATAAAGCCCCAAACAAACACCGTACTCTCATCAATTATGTCTCTCACAACGTTTACGATTACATCGAAGATTGTCAGGACTTCGACTCGTCTATTGAAGCACTAAATAATCTTTATATGAAGCCTCCGAATGAAATATTTGCACGTCATCTACTTGCTACAAGGTGCCAAAAGCCTAGTGAGTCGCTAACAGAGTTCCTACAGGGACTTTAAAGGTTAAGCAAGGATTGTAACGTCAGAAGTGTGACTGCTGAACAGTATAGGGAGGAATTAGTCCGTGACTCATTTATTAATGGTCTTCTATCACCACTGATCCGCCAATGACTTCTGGAGAACAGGCAACTCTACTTGAAGACGGCGTTTGATCAGGCCAACGCGTTAGACTTAGCCCAGAAAAACTCTGAAGCCTATGCTCCAACCGAAAACTCGGCAGCTTCTATTTCTACTGAAAGTGGTGTTGAGGATCCTTTACCAAGTGATAACCATGTGTCGGCAGCATCCAAACCCCAAAGAAAGTGTTATTTCTGTGGCGACCCTATTCACAATAGAAAGGAGTGCCCTGCACGCAGTTTTGTCTGCAACAATTGTGGTAAAACTGGCCATTACGCTAAAGTTTGCCAGTCTCAGGCTGTAAAAGGGAGGAATTAGTCCGTGACTACAGCATCAATAAGATCTGCTTCACTCTGCTCCATAAGTGCTGCCTGTCCAAAGAGCCTTATGAAAGCATCCACCAAAGTCAGTGTCAACAGTACTGTTCTTACTGCCCTTGTTGACTCTGGGAGTTCATATAGCTACATCAACGACAAGGTAGCTAACCAGCTCAACCTCAAATTACTCAAGTCAGATGACAGTTTGTCTAAGGCTCTCACATCACTTAAAGGCAAAGTTCTTGGCCATTGCTTTGTTGATATCCAACTAGGCCGCCAGTGTTATTCATCTGTACGTCTAGGGGTACTGAAGGATCTCTGTAGTGATATCATCCTTGGCCAGGACTTTCAAAGAGAAGATAAAAGTGTTGTCATTGAGTTCGGTGGAGAAAAGCCCGAACTTAAAGTACCCAACGGGGTACCTGTATGTGCTCTTGCAGCAGCATCTATTGAGGAACTATCCCTCTTCGCGATCCTCCTCCCCGAATGTAAGCCTATCGCAAGCAAGTCGCGGAAATTCAGCAAGGAGGACCAGGAATTTATCCAACAAGAAATTAACCACCTACTCGTTGAAGGCATAATCGAAACTAGCACCTCGCCCTGGAGGGCTTAAGTCGTCGTATCAAAGGACCCACTACAACGAAAAAAGAAGCGGCTTTGCATTGATTATTCTCAAACCGTCAACCTCTACACGGAACTCGATGCATACCCGTTACCCCGTATCGACAACATGGTTAACAAACTAGTTTCATATAGAGTCTTCTCAACGTTCGACTTAAGGAGTGCCTATCACCAGGTACCGATCAAGAAAGCCGACCGAAAATTTACCGGTTTCGAGGCCAATGGTAAGCTTTACCAGTTCTGTCGCATCCCCTTTGGAGTAACCAACGGCGTCGCAGTTTTCCCAACAGCGATGGACAAGTTCGTAGAAGAGGAGGGCCTGAAAGATGCATTTCCTTATATCGATAATATAACTGTTGCAGGCTACGATCAGCTCGGGCATGACGAAATTGTGAGGAAATTCAGAGAGGCTGTAAAGTGCCGAAACCACACTCTGAACGAAAACAAGACAGTAGAGTCCAAGTCTTCTATCAATCTACTTGGTTACTGTTTAGGGAATGGTGTCATTGCCCCAGACCAGGAAAGGCTTCGTCCACTTAAAAGCTTCCCTCCTCCCGAAAATTCCAAATCCTTGAAAAGAGTTATCGGTATGTTTGCATACTACGCAAAATGGATACCAAACTATTCTGACAAAGTACAACCGCTATTACAAGCAACCTCATTTTCACTTGATGGCGATGCCCTGAATGCATTCACAATGCTGAAGGAGGAGCTGCAGAAAGCGTCATTACACTCTATTGACGAGAGCCTCCCCTTCGGTTTAGAGACTGATGCTTCAGAAACTGCCCTGTCTGCTACACTAAATCAAGGAGTCAGACCTGTAGCGTTTATGTCCAAGGCCCTCCAAGGGAGTGAGCTCCACTATCCTGCGGTGGAGAAGGAAGCAATGGCCATAATTGAAGCTGTCAGGAAGTGGCAACATTTTCTTGCAGGCAGACATTTTACACTCAAAACCGATCAGCAATCAGTCGTCCTCATGTTTGACAACCGAAGACGCACCAAAGTAAAGAACAATAAAATCCAGGACTGGAGGCTAGAACTAGCCTCTCTTAGCTACACCATAAAATACCGGCCCGGTAAGGATAACGCTGCTCCCGACTCATTTACCCGGGCTTCCACAGCTTCCATACATGCAGCTAGCCTTACTGAGATACACGTCGCTCTATGCCACCCAGGTGTAACCCGGTTGTTACATTTCATAAGGTCGAAAAACCTTCCTTACTCTACAGAAGAAGTTAAGAGGGTGTGTTCTAGTTGTAGGGTCTGTGCTGAGCTCAAGCCCCAATTTTACAAACCACAGCAAGGAGTCCTCATCAAGGCTACCCGACCTATGGAGCGACTCAGCGTGGACTTTAAAGGTCCACTGCCTACGACTACTAATAATCCCTATATGTTAACAGTCGTGGATGAGTATTCACGCTTCCCTTTTGCTTTCGCCTGCCCAAACATGAGTTCATCAACCGTTATCAGATGCTTCGATCAGTTATTTACTCTGTGTGGGACGCCAGGTTTCATCCATTCAGACCGAGGTGCCTCATTCATGTCACAGGAACTTAAAGAATACCTCTCTCAGAGAGGCATCGCCACGAGCCGAACTACACCCTACCACCCGATGGGCAATGGCCAAGTAGAACGCTATAACAGTATAGTGTGGAAAGCTATTCGCTTATCTCTCAAGTAGGCAAGCCTGCCGGACAGTAAATGGGAAATGGTACTCCCTGACGCACTTCATTCAGCAAGGTCTCTCCTCTCCACTGCCACCAACTCAACTCCACATGAGAGATTTTTTGGCTTCCAACGCCGTTCGACACATTGTACTTCACTTCCCACCTGGTTACAATCCCCCGGACCGGTTCTGCTCCGCCGGTATGTGAGAACAGGCAAGAATGACCCACTTGTTGACCAGGTAGAGTTGAAGGAAGCTAACTCTACCTATGCCCATATTAAATATTTGGACGGCAAAGAATCAACGGTATTACTGAGACATCTGGCACCTTGGCCCCCAGCTCACAATCACACCATTCCTGCCACCGTGCCTATTGCAGAGGGAAAGGTCCAGGCACATGTTCCGGCTGAGCATCAAGCAGTTGAGAAGGAGAGTATTTCAACTGAATTGTGACAGCAACATGCCCCTCTTAGGCGCTCAGTGCGTGCTGTAAAATCACCAACCCGTTATGGTTTTGAAGACGAATAGACTCTAAACTTTAAACTCATAAGTGTCATTATCAGTTCTTTTTAAGGGAGTGAGAATGTTGTATTATTGTTTTGTTGGTATTGGTCTCTCTGTGCCACTATCTGCGGTACTTTATGACCAGCGGTACTCATTCATATGTTTTCATCCGCCATATTATTGATTGTAGCATTTTAAGTTGTGTTTTCAAGTTAAATAAAGCCAGAGAATGGTAAATTACAACACTGTTCCTCACTTTTCTGGATTGGGATGAGTGGGTTTATGGCAACGTTTTGTTCAAAATTATGCTGTTCTTCACTTTCCTGGATTGAGAGGAGTGGGTTTATGGCAACAGATTGTTCAAAATCACGCTGTTCCTCACATTCCTGGATTGGGAGATGTGGGATTATGGCAACACTTTGTTTAAAATCATGCAGTTCCTCACTTTCCTAAATTGGGAGGAATGGGTTTATGGCAACACCTTCTTTAAAATCATGCAGTTCTTCACATTCCTGGATCGGGAGGAGTGGGTTTATGGAAGCAACTTGTTCAAAATCTTGCTGTTTCTCACTTTCCTGGATTGGGAGGAATGGGTTTATGGAAACATCTTGTTCAAAATCATGCTGTTCTTCACTTTCCTAAATTGGGAGGAGTGGGTTTATGGCAACAATTTTTTCAAAATCGTGCTGTTCCTCACTTTCCTGGATTGGGAGATGTGGGATTATGGCAACACTTTGTTTAAAATCATGCAGTTCCTCACTTTCCTGGATTGGGTGGAATGGGTTTGTGGCAACACCTTGTTCAAATTCATGCTCTTCTTCACTTTCCTGGATTGGGAGAAGTAGGTTTATGGCAACACCTTGCTCTAAATCATGCTATTCCTTGCTTTGCTGGATTGGGAGGAGTGGGTTTATGGTAACATCTTGTTCAAAATCATGCTGTTTCTCACTTTCCTGGATTGAGAGGAAATGGTTTAAGGTAACACCTTGTTCAAAATCATGTTGTTCCTTGTGTTCTTGGATTGGGAGGAAATGGTTTAAGGTAACACCTTGTTCAAAATCATGTTGTTCCTTGCTTTCTTGGATTGGGAGGAAATGGTTTAAGGTAACACCTTGTTCAAAATCATGCTGTTCCTTGCTTTGCTGGATTGGGAGGAGTGGGTTTATGGTAACATCTTGTTCAAAATCATGCTGTTTCTCACTTTCTTGGATTGGGAGGAAATGGTTTAAGGTAACACCTTGTTCAAAATCATGTTGTTCCTTGCTTTCTTGGATTGGGAGGAGTGTGTTTGTGGCAACATCTTGTTCAAAATCATGCTGTTCCTTACTTTCTTGGATTGGGAGGAGTGTGTTTATGGCAACACCTTGTTCTAAATCATGCTGTTCCTTGCTTTGCTGGATTGGGAGGAAATGGTTTATGGCAAAATCATATTCAAAATCTTGCTGTTCCTCTCTTTCCTGGATTGGGAGGAGTGGGTTTATGGCAACACCTTGTTCAAAATCATAACCTTCCTCACTTTCTTCGATAGGAAGGAGTGGGATTATTCCAGCACCTGCATCAAAATCATCCTGCTCTGCAATTTTTGAATAGACAGAAGTGAATTGATTTCACTACCTTGATCAACATCGTCTCCCTCAAGCTCAATGCAATCATTTACCCTTGCATTTGGTTCTGCATCATTTCCACTTTTTACCTGCAAATATTGTAGATGTTCATCATTTTCATTGTCATTTTTGGAATATAAAGTTGCGAAATTAGAATCTGGTAGATGAAGTAATGCCAAATAATGTGGATGGATTAACATGTGATGTAAATGGATGAGAAGGAAGAGCTGTACTGAAATCACATGAATTTCGAGTCCAATGGATCACAATCTAGTGGATTAAGAAAGTTACTTTCAAATATGAATCACAAGATAGAGTTGATAAATCAAAATGTGATGGATTCGGTGAATCAGAATTAGATTGATGAGGTGAATATGCTGAATCTGATTCAAATGAAAAATGAATTTGAATCCAATTCTGGTGGATCTAAATCAGAATCACACGAGCATGGCCAATCTGTTGAATGCAACACTGATGAATCAGAATCTAATGGATCTGAAAAATTGGTTGTATCAGATTCCAACGAATCTGAATCGTAAAAATCTGATGAATTAGAACCAGATGCATCAGGCACATCTGCTGCATCTGATTGAGATGAATTTGTAT